CCTTTTTCATTGGAAATGACAACAATTTCATGTGTAGAATACTGTCATTACTTGCATGTAATGGTTTTCTAATAGTATCTTGGAAATTCCTTAATTTACTCAGAAGTACCAAATTATTATGAGTTATGTTTGAGATTTATACCAGTGAGCCTCAACTGTTTCAACAACAAGGACTTCTAGATCCTGAAATTATAGTCCTGGGTCTTATTCTGGATTTTACCACATGCTGCATTTCCTCAGGGCAAGTTATTTAATCTCCGTTTGCCTCAGTTTAACTAAATGTAAAGATAAATGAGAATGATATCCAACTCATAGGGTTGTAGAATAAAATTATGCTTGTAAATCACCGGGCACACAGTGTTTGGTAAACAACATTCGATAAGAATTATCTTTTATTATAGTCAAAAATCTTTTTTATTTAAAAAAAGTTATTTATCTTTTTTTATTCAAAAATAGTTTATTGAACATCCATTATGCACCATATTCTCTTCACATCTTTGCAAATATTACTTCTTACTAGAATCCTTTCCCTACTCCTTGCCTGACTAACTCCTTTATGTTTTCCTTTTGCTGTTCAGGTGTCAGTATACTACAGGAAGTCCTCTCTAAGACCTCTTCCTGCCTTGGCATCAGGCTTTAGGTCTCCTGCAGTGTTATTACAACACAAAGCACACGACTGTGTGGTGACCTCTCTCTCTACCCCATTCAACCTAGAGCTGGGAATAGTTGAGCAGATAAAGGATGGTAATACAGCATGACAAAGTAGAATTGCTAAAAATTTACTGCTACAAAGGAAAATATTGCTATTTTATTAGTGTAATTCTAGTTTTACTGTATATGTTACCGGTTTTAGTAAAGGCGTCATATGGAGAGACCTGGCCCTCAGTTTTGCAGAGTAATCAATTTTTTTCGATTTTTCAGCAGTGATTAGGTTCTGGTAAATATGAATTTTGTTTTTCAAGCCTCCAGTGGTGCTTTGTGCATTAATATACTAATTCAGTACATTGTAGTACTAATTATTTCTATAGAGTATCTCTAATTCTTTTAATAACCTTACTAAATAGATAATATTTCTTGCTTTATTACTGAGAAAATTGTGGCTCAAGAAGGTTAAGCAATCAATCAAGTCTGGCATTCATTATTTACTGCCAAGTCTCTCACACCTCACATCCAATTCACTCTCTTCATGGCTCCCACCAGGTCAAAGTCATCAACATGTTTTACCTGGACTCTGTGATCATAGTCTATTGTCCATGCAACAGCCACACACATAAGTACATATATATAAAACACTTTAGACTATACCAGGTGTAGTGGCTTATACCTGTAACCCAGGC